GCTATTATAGATCAATAATAAAACAGTGTTCTATTGTAGCTCAGCCATTTCAAAGCTACAAACCGAAAGGATATTCATTTAGCTGATAACCAGTTCCTTCCTTTTTGACTACTACTGAGAATTTAGTGTCAACATCACTTAATGTTCCTTAATTATCAGTTTGCTGTCTCCTTGATAGTGAAAGAACACAGTGAAAGAAATTCATCTTTTGGCATCTAGAGGTTGAGGGGTTAATAACTGGCTGATCAAGTTGGTTTTATTTCTAACTGATATGTAAAATTGAATCATGTTGAAACTAATTTTGACAAAAGGGGGTGTGTTAGAGGTGGGGTAAATAATGTATACCAAATGTACAGAGCTAATTATGGAAAGAATTTAACAAAGTACCTCTACTCTGAGGGAAAGAACAAACCAAATGACAGAGACTCATAGAGCATCAATAAAGTTAATCACATATTAGTGCATTTGTGACAGAGGTAATAAAAACAACAGTAAAGGTAAGTTAGGTGCATAAACAGGTACCATGTTGTTTTGTCAAAATGTGAACTAATGCAGTAAATGCCCTATAATAGCATATTTTCCAGTTCTCCAACTGTTATTTTGAATTCCATAAACTAACTTCATTTCACATATAGATCAAATGATTCACGATGTATAAGTGCCAAATACTTTGAGGTGTTGAATATTGACGAGGAATGTATCATGTATATTGTTTTATTTGGCTGGCACCAGAGGAAAGAAGAAAACAAAAATTATGCAGACTGAGGGAAATTGAGTTAAAACTGCACAGCTCAAATAAAAAGCTTATTTTGTGAGCTAAAACTAAGTTATATTTCTTCCCAATGTGATACATTTGACCGCACGTGTTAAGACCCAACGAATCAAGTATCTATCTCTCGAACAAATAGTACTCCGCTTGGATTGCACGCAATGCAAAATGTTCTAGAAGCCTTCACTCTTCTATCAAGTCAAAACAAACTTTGCAAATGTACGAAAGTACAATACTTTATAAATGTACGTAAGCTGCTGCTTTTAAGATGCTAGCACGGCCAGGGGTTTGAATGATTCATTGTACTCTTGGGTCCTTTGATGTGATGTTGTTTCAATTGTCGAAATAGGATCACAAAGGCTCAAAAGATTCTAATGAGGAATAAAACCGCTCTGCATTTCCTTCGGTGGCCTAAAAAGTTAACCCATCCTTGAGTTTGTAACCGCAGGTCTCTTTGTTTTTATTCTTCCGCATCTTAAATTTAACATGACCGTCCCTGAGGAGGACGCCATTTTTAAGCTGGCGTGCTTCACAATATTTCTGCTTGAGTTATGAGGATGAAGTAAAAAAAGAAACATAGAGCTCAAGTCTCACCTTGCTAGGAGTCCTTTTAAAGGACTTCCTCCTCGTTTATTTCCTGGAGTGAAAATTATCCCAGAACGTAAGTCTGCAGCAACCCGAGCGTTCAGTCGGGCTCTCACAACAAGAACAAAAGGCTTGGCTGCTCAGTAAATAAACAGAAACAAACAGATGTCGGCGAATCAAGAATCACCAGCTCAATCCCTTGGGTGCAAACCCGCCAAACTTGAATAACTTGATTGATCGTAAGACACCGACTTTTCAAGACTCAGACTAATACCCCATTCAAACCAGCAAACTTAGATGGAACCGAGTTTAACATAATGAAAATCAGAAACAAACCTCTGAATAACTGAATTTTCCAGAGAATTCAAGTAGTCTCTTACATGTTACATTTGAAGTACCATCGAAAATATAAAATAAGAACATTATCATAGCTATTATTAATCAGCTACACTGCTCAGTGAAGTGCAGAAATGTTTACCACATCACGAATAACATGGCCTGAAGAGAAGAGGCGTGATTTTGGAGATCTTGTGCTCAGTACTTCACAAGTAAACCTTTGTATCTAACCTCTTGAGAAATGGTCAGAAGGAGGGAGGGGGGAGGGTGGGGCTTCCCCGCCCCTCCCCTACCGTCCACTCTAAATCTGAAAGGTCTTAAATTAAACATGGCCGGCGGGATAAACGATCGTGAGTTTGTAATGCTAACTCTTCCTAACGAGACGCCTGCACTTTAGGCTACAACTAACACCTGAAGTTCACATACCTTAATCAGTTCGAATAAGGGAAATAAGGGGAAAGTTAATAATAGTGGCGCACGGGAACTGCTGTTCTATAACCCAACGCGGTCAAGTTGAATACACATAAGTCTCTCACTTTTAAGTGTGGGACTCATAAAAATACTCACGTGACCTAGTAAACATTTCGAATTAATATTTTTTCATACAGATTGAAACTGCTTTTCTCTTTCTAAGCTTAACATATTATCGCACCTTCAGTAGAGATGTCCTGCATAATAACTGCAGTAACAACTTTTTAGAAGGGACTGCTTTTAACTCAGACATTCATTAGCCAATAAGACATAAGCTGGTTGTCAAAAATGGCGTTGAGATAGGTTCCTCAGTGACAATTTCTCGTTATCAGTCATGCTTGATACGAATGAATGTCTAAGGCCCGGTTCATAGTTAGAGAGAGGTAGAGTTATTATAGCGGACGAAAATACTCGAAGGCTCCTTATTTTGCAAAAGAATTCTCGCAGGTACAAAAGGAGGTTGCTCACAATGTAGCAATATGTGCCGCAATCTGTGCAGAAAAAAGAAGGTTAATACTACAAATTGTAGTTGTTAATGTGCTTCTTTTGTCTTGAGAAAATGCAGCAAAATAATACCGATCCTGCGGTACTAGATGACGTTTTTGATTTATGAAAGGAAAGGGAAATTTTCAAAACCTATTACAGCTCTTTGGATTGGGAAAGGAAAGATGATATTGTTTACTTGTTCCTAAAATTGCACATAAGTAAGCATAAAGTAACACTCATAGCAGGGTGGAAAAAGTACCTCAACAGCGTGACTACAAGTTAGGGGGTTTGAGCATGGGCGTCCCAAGCTCACGTCTCGAGAAAGACGAAAAATGCAGTCAGAGGTTGATTTGCTCTCCTGAACTCATCACTTGCTCTACACTCAGATTTAAAAGGGCTTTGGTTACTGCGTATTCCTCTGTCGATTTACCAGTTTGACGATCAAGTGTCAGAGGAGTTTTTGCCACTGATCGTTCAAGGCAAACTTTCTTGCACCTCTCTTTGTCTGCTTCTCGTTCGCAAGATGCCTTCCGTTTACGATTGAGTCGCGACACCTAGGCTGTTGGCGTTTATTATCCAGGAGTTGAGGTATCGTAAATCGTTTTTGCAAGTACCATAAGCACATTTCTATGTCGTAACCATTATGTTTAGGTATACACTTACTAGACAACTGCAATCGTACACGTTCATAGAGTTGAAATCGGTTTTAATTTTGGGAATCAAGGCTTCCTCACGTTCTATAGCGATTCGTGGGCACTAATTTCCTGTCAGACGTGGATTTATTTGAAAATCTACGCACTAAATACCCTGAAAATACCTGATCAGATACATCACTGTAAGCAGAACTAATTCGATTATTCTATGCCGCAGCGCTTCCTGTAACTTTTTTCGCATCTGCTTCAAGTGCAGCGAAACAACAACTTGCTTGACAAATGATCAAATAAATGATAAAAGAAAGAGGTCAATTTTGAGCGAAGAAACGTTTTTTGAAAGTGGGCAGTTATTTAAGAAAAATTTCCAAAGCCGAGTTTGGATACACGTGCTGCGAGCTCGACTCAATGTCCAAACTTTCAGGGTTTGTGTACATCAAAAGTCACGTGACACTATACGTGAAATCTAAAGCCCAAAAGGTGAATTGATCGGAAGCGTTATGATTAAGTACTTTGTTGTTCATGTCGAAAGTCCCGTGAAATTGTTTGGTTTAGTGTTGTAACAAAAAAATTTCAGTCTCCCACGGTCAGCCAGCCGGCATGCCCATTCATATATGCCAGTGGTGAAGAAACAAGTTCACTCAGAGAGGAGACTGGAAAGAAGAGAGAGAAAAATACTAAAAGAGTGAAGACAGTCTGCAAAAGAGCAGAGTCAGAATTCTGTAGTTAAAGAAGAATTATTTAGTGTCAATCAAATTGTGATCAACCAGAGTTACACAGAATGAAATAAGCTCGGATGTTAGTAGAACTGTGTACCGGCTGGGGAACCGAGTAATTTATTGAGTAAAAAGAGAAAAAGACATTATTCTCTTCATCCGGTGGAAGTTCCAAGTTACTGAAACTAATTGAGGTTTTAAAACCTCGATTTGTTTATTTTACGAAGTAGGACATCTTTCAAATGATCGACATTATACTTATTAATAAGAAACAATTCCATTAAAAACGCTTGAGCCAGTAAGAGTTCTGGGTTATTGACTGAATGATTGAGGTTTTAAAACCCCATTGTAGATATTTGACCCAGTATGACATCTTTCAAGTGACCGACATTTTTATTTTACACTCAGTCATAAGAAACAATTCCATTAAAAACGCTTGAGCCAGTGGGGATTCTGGGTTAACGACTGAATGATTGGGGATTTAAAACCCCAATGTAGATATTTGACTTAGTAAGACGTCTTTCAAGTGACCAATACTTCTATTTTACGCTCAGTCATAGGAAACAATTCCACCGGAACTCGGATATGACATTGATCCGATGGACAATCTTTAATTAGACGTCTCGATAACATTTTTGGAAACTTTTAGAGAGATATGAAATTAAGCCTGCTATTTAACCTTCGCGTGACCTACAAGTTTTCTCATGGGAAAGAAATAAAGCCAAATTAATCCTCGGACTGGAAAATGTCTTGAATGCGTTATCCATGCCTTAACTGACATTTTACCTATGCCCCGTGGCTCACAACTCACAGACACCTGCAGTACTTTACCCAGTGGGCGAGTAAAAACCCTTTCATGTTTGTTCATTTGGCTTAGTAGGTTATCTTGTAAATGATCTCTTTTATTCGAAGTAATTGGCTTGTTTGTGAATTTTTTTAGAAGGGTATAAAATTGAATGAATATATTTGTCGTGAAATCCCGGCTGAGACGGTTCTGGGGACTCAGGTCATTTTTTCAAACGCAGCTTCACAACACAGTTCGAGATATTTGTTGGATTATGAAGACCCAAACTGTTTCGATCGCTCTTGCTGCTCTTATTCTTAATTTACTATTGATTTCTGAGACTGATTGCTTCTCTGGACCAATACCAAAAAAGAGAGAGGTTGAAGCAAAGGTATCATTTTTTTCGTTAACATTTTACATATGGTATGGGACCCAAACAATTATCAGAATTTAGAGAGTTGTTCTGTTGTTATGTAGTTCTTTTTGCAATTAAATATTGTTTCTAACTGTTTTTATTTAGCAAGACTTTGCTTAAGGTGTTTTGTTCAACGTGGAAGTCGACTTTATCCACGGCATGCGTGTTTTCCAAAGTTCATTAGAGAATAGTTCTCAGGGACCTCGAGCAAACCACAACAGCAACAGCAACGAAGACGTAGTAAAACAAAACGTCTAATAAGCAGAAAAAACGCTTAGCGAGAGCGTTTTAAAACTCTGTACATCATCTAAGCCGTCCTCTGCAAAACAACAACTTGAAAGGGTACTAAAATATGCGCGGTCTCAGAATGAAAATCCCGACGGCAAATTATTTAAGTTTCAATTTGAAACTCAACGCTGCTTACATACGTTAAGCTGACAGTGCAGTGAACTTGAGGTGCGGCGCCGTAAGAGACGGTAAACACATCCGGCCATCCGCAAAATTCTAACTAAAAATTTCCATTCATTTTTTAATTGACGTCTTCCTCGCCGTTCTCGTCTAGGCTCTTTAAGGCCCCTAACAACAGAATTCAACCAAATTATAAAATTTACCCACTAATTTTTGTAACTAAGTCTTCTGCGGATGTTGTTATAGATATACGATTCCGTTTACATAAGTAAAAGGGGAGTTTCTTTTTAAATGATTTTGCCTTACATCTTTTCTCGCTGCTTTGATCGTTGCAATCTTAGTTATTCTTCATTTCCTCAAAGTATTCAAGATTTTGATTTTATTTGTATGAAACTGAACGGTATTTCGATACCGGAAACCACGAAGTTTTTGAAGTAGTTGAATTAGAAAGCGACTCTGTAAGTAGTGTGCAGCGTCTAAGCTGAGATTCGTGGATTTAAGTGTTACAAATAGTCCACTGTTGGCTGAAATATATTTTATTACACTTGATATTTACAGTTTGACAGAAGGATAAGAAGGGCAGAAGCCCAGAAGGAAGCGAGAAGCTTCGGACGCGAGGGAATGGACGAGAGGTTCTCTGACAAATGGATAGCACAGCAAAAGTAGCCATGTTTATTGGAGGGGAGATCATAATGATGTCGCCGAAACTAGATTATAGAAAAGAGCTCTGTAAATCAAAAGATTTAAGGAAAAAAAGGAACAGAAGGGATAAATAAAAGGAGTAAAAAAAACAAAGTTCTGTTTCTTGAATGATTTTGGAAATGAAGGAAACCAAAGGATTTTGACTTAAGTACTGAAAGTTTCAGCCACATATATTTCGGTGGTTTCGCTCGCTGCAGTTTTTCTTGATCAACCAGTGAGACTCGACACTATACTATAAAATTTACGAAAGCCGAGGAGGGACTTCCGACTTCCGACTTCCGACTTCCGACTTCCGACTTCCGACTTCCCGACTTTCGTCGAATTAGAATGCCCGAATACTACTTGCAAGTTCCCATATTGGTTGGAGGAAGTTATCATGAACATAGAATTTAATATATTTTCTCTGAAGCTTAGTGCTCGAAAATTTTAAATGCGTGGGTGAAACCAAATAAAATGTATGGCTGAAATTTGGAACAATCAACAATTCGACCCCGTTATTCAACAAAGAGGTTTCGCGTCAGCTGGTTGACTTTTTGTGGGTCTCAGTGTAAAAAGCTTCGCGCGAACTTAATCCTTGGGTGGTCTTCAATAAAATACAACAATTCGGAGCTCAAACTACGATACAATTTTATCAACCCTCTGCGGACCTACAAGAAAGCAACCGAAGAAATTCTTGAGACCTTGACGATAATTTCGACAGAATACAAAACAAATGATGGGGTTCATAGCACAATTTGAGTGTGCCAGGAAAAAAGCAAAACCTGTGAAGTATTGGAAGCCGCAAGATGATAATATATCTGAGGAATAGAGGGTTAGAAACCACCAGATACTGTACGGCAGCCAGCACATTATAAACCCTGACACAATAGCAGAGGACATCTTAAGAACATTTCTCTCTGCTTTTAAACGTTTTGCTGTCGTGTTGACTGATTGTTCGCCGGGAATCTTCCGGGATTTGATTTTTAAAGCAATACCAAAGTAAAGTAGGCCAATCAAAACCAAAGGGGCGTACAGGAATACCACGATTATTGCCACAGCATAGTTTTCGTAGGACAAAGACTTTCCTAATGTGTCATTCCACTGTCGGACACACACCAGCTCTCCTCGGTACTTGATAACTTTCCGAGCGAACAGTTCTGGGACCCAGACAGCGAAAGCGTTGATCCAGGTGGCGAGAATAACGAACCGACACCGCTTTGAACTGATGAGTGGTGAACGGAGAGGAAATACCACAGCTCCAAATCGATCCACAGCTATCAGACCAAGGCTCTGAATTGACACAGCAGGGGAAGTTTTCCTTGAAAAGTAGTTCAACTTACACAGGGCTTGACCGAGAGGACCGCTGACCAGCCAAGAGCCGCTATACAAGGTAATCAATTTCTCTGGAAGCAGGAAAATCGGATACAGTAGATCGGACATAACCATATTTACAATTAAAACGTTGATTGGCTTTCTGAGGGTTTTCGTCCTGTAGACAACTGCTCCAATGAAGCTATTTCCAACCAGCGAAACAAGAAATAGAAAACAGTAAGCAAAGGTTTTTCCAATTCTCTCAGCTGCGGGATTGAAGCAGCTCGACATGATCTGTATTCCATTCACTGTCTTGGTAACGTTAGTCGACATTCTCCGCCAGAACTCAGTGTGAGATCAGTTTCTTCTTTAGCCAACAGTTCTTTGTCTGACTCTGAAGCCTCTCTATACTCTATTTAAAGAAAAAAAACAGCTGATTATTTACATATATATTAGAAATGTTTGATAAAGCTTCTCCAGAAATTATTTCATTTCTAGTTTTAATTCGCAGTCTGTACCGAAACTTCCTGAAAGCTGATTTATTACACTTGAAAGTTAGCGGGAATGGAATAACCAAGAATGGTCAAAAACTGGTATTGTAATTCTTTTTGTTATCAAAATGAAAAAAAAGCGATACGATCGGTTACAAAAAACAATATTAGAGAATTATACATGCAAACGAATCCTTGAGGTCAGAACGGTTTTTAAAAGCGTTTAGGTGAAAACTTTCCTCAGAATCTCATTCGAAGTATCATACTTTATTCATTGCCTAAAGCTTAGTGGCTGCAAAAGAGTGCTCCTGCCTTGACGCAGAAATCTCTTACACATGTTTTTGTTATTTAAAAAGTTACATCAGTCTGTCAGTTGGCGTGTAAACAATAAACAATCATCTTCTCGACGTCCAAATAAAATGAAATGATTTTTTTCTCTTGCACAATAATCTTAATTAATGTTCTAAGTTAAAGCTACTGCTGGCTACAAAAACGAAAGTGCAATTTTCTAGAGAGCGTCGAAAGTATTCGGTTTAATATTACAATGTTTTGCTCCATCGCTCTCTATGAATGGTCTAGAAAACTTGCGCTGCCGTCTTAATGGACAGGGACGAGCTAAAAACAATCTACATTTGATCACCTGTCTTACTTTGAAGGATCAGTGGTACCTGCCAATAAATGCCTTGGTTCTGTTTGGTTTTGATGCCTATATAAAGATTAATTTAATTGAGAACGTGACACATGTAAGTAGCAAAACTCAACTCTTACGCTTGGCAGGATGTTAATCATATTGAATATCATCGGTGAGTCAATTACTCCTCCAGCTGTCCGAGAAGCTTGAAATTTATGATTAATATAAGGCCTTCCTTTTTTTGATTTACAGGTACAATCAACACCTTTCGTTTTGGGGAACCAATTGAGCGAAGGTTTCCTCAGAAATTAGTGGGAGCCAACATACTTTCATTTGACACAAGCCCATTAGAAACCAGCTTAGGATAAGCATTCGTCTCATCAACTGAAATAATAGACGAAAAGTAAAAGTTGCGGCAACAACGATAACGCTCCAAATAAAATGGTCGATCTATCATCACGCAGTGTAGCTTTGACCATCGTGGAGTCCGGCTTTATGATTGCACTGAATATTCTGTCTCTAGGAGGCAACATCATGGTATGTATAGCCGTGTACAGGAATACAAGACTCCGCACTACCACTAATATTTACATCATCGCGTTGGCTATCAGCGATCTTTTGAGCGCCATTTTCGTCATGCCGTTTGCAGCGGGAGTGCTCATTTCAGGAAGATGGCCCTTTGGTAAAGAATTTTGCCAGATAAACGCCTTTTTCAGCCTATTTGTTGTGTACGTTTCACCTGTGACGATGGGTTTGACAGCAGTTAACAGATACATAAGAATATGCAAGTCAGACATGGAGTATAAACGGTTCTTCTCCCCAATAAGATCCCGCCTCCTGCTGGCCTTTACATGGGGCTTAATTGCTTGTTACATCCTGGTTTCCCGCTTGGCTGGTCTACAAGGCTTTCAATTTGTGCCAGAGTATGCCTCGTGCTTGAACCAACATCTGGCTGCATCTAGCAAAATTGTTCATTATTTCGTGGTTATTGGCTTGTTTTTCCTTCTTCCCTTGGCGGTGACTATTTTCAGCTACAGAAAAGTCTCCAGAAAGATCAAGGAACACAACACCAATTTAGCAATGACCCATCAAAGTCAAAAACGGAATGCCGATTTCAGCGCACATGAAATCTGAATAAGCAAGTCATTATTCGTCGTAGTATTTGCCTTCATGTTATGCTGGGTTCCTGCTTGGTTGATTACCATCCTGGTACGCTTTGTGGGAAAAGTACCTCGCAATGTTCAACTTTTGTGCGCTTTCTTCTTGAATTTGTCCAACACTATCAATCCTTTCATTTATGCCGGAATGAATCCGTTGTTTAGGTTAGAGTTCACAAGAATACTCCACTGTGCATACTACAATAAAATTCGCAATGAATCGGGCTCGAACACCGATGACAATCAACAGGGATCGAGTCAAAGAACCGTCGCCCTTGCTCAAAGCACCACACAGCACCATACCTTGTAAATTACTGAGCGCCAGTTGAACAATCGACGAAAATTAAAATCAAAACGAAACATGTTAGGTGAAGAAATTGATTTTATAGAACGGAGTATCAAAGGCGTGAAAAGTATACAAAATAAAATAAGCATGTAGATTAGTAAAAAGCAGTGAGCTAGGGAGATAAATCGCGACTTATTTTGATCGTGTTGGACAGGACAGAATTTTTTCTGCAATAAAGGGGGATCTTTCGATGGAGACCGTTTCTTGGAACTACGTGGATTTCATCAGTACACTTTGAAAAAATATAGGAAAATTTAATAGAATTAGGAGATCAATCCTAACGCTTTCTCGCTCCCCTTTGACAGGCATCCCCTCGCAAAAGGGAGGAAATGATTTTTAAGAATCACTGTATACATATATCTTACAGAATAAGTTTAAACAATTGGCGTGTAAGACAATGAAAAAAAAATCGTTAGGTAGGGAGAGGAAAAACTGGCAGTGAGAAGTGGTCCTTGAAATTATTTGTTTTCCTTTCATTTTTTTAACTTTTCGGATTTGTGACAACATTTTTGGCGGATAGCAATTTCGGTTATTGAATTTATCCGGCAGACAATGTGTCCTATGCGTCAATTGAAAGCGGTGCGCTTATTTAATTGCCTATTCAACTGAAAGTCCTTTAATTTCATGATGTGTTCATGAGGGACGTATCCACGTCACTTTAAGGACGAGGCATAGCAGTTTGGATGAATTCATTTATGTATTTGAGTTATTAAAATTCACTGATAACCAGACACCCAGATTACCTTTCGAGATTGTTGCGTGTACTTTTGTCCTTTTTTCAGACAACCTTTTTTCAAAATAGCTGTATATTTGAACTGAAAGTCTTCGAAATTCTATCGAGTATAATTGACAAACCCAGCCTCAGTTGCCCACGATGTGATAAGAGAGAAGAAATTTTCTCACATTTCTCCAGTGTGGCTAATAAGCAGCTGGCTGACAGAAGGGAACCACACGCCCTTTACTTTCACCCACCAATCTCTATTCGCCACTTCCCGGCCTAAGATTGAGCAACTCCATTCGCGTCGTATTTTCTAGTTGCAAAGCAAAAAGTCACAGAGACGGTGACTGCATTTGAATAAGTGTTCCTCTTTCAGGGATTGGGTCAGTTTTGCTTTGTGTTTCGTTGTTGTTGTTGTTTTTTAACGAGTTACTGACCTTATGCTCGTGCAGTGGAGACGTTCAGCAACGTCGAGATGTTAATCGCGGCAGGGATCCCGTTGGTGTGGCCTATTCGATAAATAACATCTCCTTTGTCAGCACAGTGTTGGGACAACGCACTTCGATGTGGTATCATATATATAAACACTATTAAACTTCAAACTCCGGATACTGCATTTCCAGTGTTCTGATTAGTTCACTCAGACCCGGTTATCGGCCTATATACCAAATCGCCTTATATGGAAAATAATTTTCACCGAGCGTTGTTACGCTAAATTTCCTTTGACTGGAAACAAAAATTTTTTCCGTGCATTGAGGATTATTCGAATTAATAAAACAACTATTTCATTTGCGCTTTTTGAATACGAGATTGGATTCCGCTAACATTATCTCTTTCGGGATGCGAACAGTTTTCTAAGAGCGAAGCTCAAGGAAAACTATTAGCTTTGAATGCCACACGATAATTATACTTAGCGAATCAGTTACATATTGCACAATGAAGTTTGTGTGCATTCCATCGTTCCGGCATTGTAACAGTCATGCGCCGGATTCGACTTAGCTACTGTTGAATACTTTTTGTCCGTTACATCCGTCATATTTCTCTCCTAATTTAATACGTTTCGGCCAGAAGACCCCTAGATTTAAAATAAACTACCCAGAATTATATTTACCACACAAGATAATCGTTGAGAAAAAGTTCAAACAACGGTTTGGGTAAGGCTTCTCTTTTGATAAGTTTTAATATGTATATTATCATAGGTAAGTGAGTTTGGAAGGGAAGACGAGATTACTCGATGTTTATTTATAACTTTCAGTCCGAGTAGAGGAAGTTGTCATGTCTTTCTGATACTAATGATTACCAAAGGCCGCTTTTGGTAACTAATCTGTTTTTTTACAAGCACTAGTTCTTATTTTGATATATCATGTCTTAAAAAGACATCAAGCTGACATTTTACACAGTTTGCGTCATTCCAAATGCGTCGGCCCCACTAGATACTCGTTATGACGAAGTTATGACGATGACTCAAGTTACGAGAATAAAGTGCCGGCACTTCTTTAAACTGATCAATGGGGAACGAAAGGGAAAATACAACAGCTCCAAATCAGTCAAATTCTATCAGAACCAGGCTCTGAGCTGACACAGAAGAGGACATGTTGGATGCATAGACACTCAGCTTACGTAACACGTGACCAAGCGGACCGTCTAGAAGCCAGGTGCGAGGGTGTAGTCAAACTAAAATACGAGGAAACAGGAAAATCGGAACAAACATATCGGATATGGCCATGTTAACAATCAAGAAATTAATTGGTTTTTTCAGAGTTTTCGTCTTGAAGACAATTATTTCAATGAAGGTGTTTCCAGCCAAAGAAACAGAAAATGGAAGGCAGCAAGCAAGGGTTTTATCACTATTTGCTGCTGGATTGTTACAGTTCGACATGGATTGAGTTTCATTTATCGCTGCAGTCATTTTTACCAAAATTCTCGACACTGAGAGAGCAGTTCTTATTCGGCCAGTTCTGTGGAAACCGACTAAACTCCATTTAAAATTAACACTTAACAACTGGTTCATACGTCAGCCGTACGTTCGTCGAGGACCAAAACATGAGTAAGCACGCGGGAAGTTTTTTAGAGCATGAAAGATGCGTGAGAGTTGCTGGAGGCGCATCCGAGACCAATGCGAGCTTCTTGAGTGCTCTCCAAACTTTTCAAAAGTGACGTTATGGGGAAATCTTTGGGTTTTCATGAAATGAAAGAAAAATTCATCGGTCACGCCACAGGTGCCGTGAGGCGGAACCCGAATAAATAAGATTCCAATCTGCTCGAAGGCTAGAAGACGGCAGTAAGAGATATTACAGGCGGCAGTAGACCGGGCCGCCAGTAGCCGCCTCTAATTGAAACCTCTGAGTTTCATACAGTTCGTTCGAGTGGAATGATGTAGCATGATACAAGAGGTGTTATGATTTTAGATTATTTTGTTTAAAAGGAAATATGAATTGGAAGATGATAAAAACCATTTTAAAGTATTGTGAGTTGATATAAAAGGGAGACACGCTTTCCTTTCCCTTTTAACGCTTGTAACAGTCGCTCAGCACGGTTTTTTAATTAAATTTGGTGAGAAATCTCCACAAAATTTATGCACAGTGTTATACTTCTTTCATCGGACAAAACCGAGAAACAGAAAAAGAGTCCTCACCTGATGGAAAAACTTTCTCACCTCACTGTTATTACCCATCTATTATTTCAGGAGAGTTGCATTTATTGTGTAAAACAATGAAAAATCAGTAGTTTGGGGAAAACCATATTTTTCAATACGGATTATCGAAATAAAACCGTTTTTTATACGTCTGTATGTGTGAGGGTTTTTTTGGTTTGCTTTGCGAGTCATTTATTTTGTTGAATTTTTGTCTCCCACCGAGCCTCAGTTGCGCAAGTAATAAGTTGTGAGCATATTGTGGCCTCTCTACGACTAAAAAGAAATAAAAATGTAGGATATATTCATGATGTACTGTAAAATATTCAATCTTTTAAACCAGCGGCACTCTAGAAGTCATATTGACGTGAGAGGTTTCTTGACCTCCGCCCTTGATAACACTTGACAGTGATATGAGCTGTGGTGAAATCAATGTTAGAGAATTATATCTCTATGAAAAAAGAGAGAGAGAGAGAGATGCGGATCTTTTTCCTTTAAGCTAACACCAGTTATGTAACTATGCTGGGCAGTTGTTCAGCATAGTTCCTAAATTTAGGTAAATGAAAACTACCCACCTAATCTATGCCAAGTATCGTTGTTCATTTATTTACCCAAAACCGTGTGGCTGCAGATAAGTACTCCTATCTTATTCTCAATTAAATACTCTTTGTCCAAATGCTCTCGATTGAATTCGACATAATCGATTTTTAACCTTAATTTCAGTGCAACTGGTCTTATAAACTTAGAAATATAGGATTAGGGTAACAAAACACTAACTGTGCGGTCAGGCAAATACGCCAAACTTTTCACGAAACAAGATATGATCCCTTCTACACTTCTCAACAGCGAATAGGCCAGTCCTTACCAATCTATCCATGGTATCAAATCCAAAACAAACAAACGAACAAAAACGCTAGTTTAAAGCCCTCGACACTTTCAGAATGGAAAATTGTACATTGAGCTTTCAAAGAGATTTCAAAGTTATTTCTCGATCTTTTGGGTCAAGGCACGATATGAAAGTAAGAGCGCTTATTTCTTTAGAACAAACAAACATTTCATTCAAACAAGAATTAGGTTCAAATTAAAATCAAACACAGGTGAGAACTACTTTTTATTGAGTTCAAATGGGAAAAACTAACAATGGCGTCTTTCATGATATTTTCGTTGCGTACTCTGCTCTGCATTTCAAGCTGCGTCTTAATGCAAATCTAGGCCTGTTTTCAATTTTCAAGAAAAAATCGCAAGAGTCTTTTCATTGATTATTACCTTTGCTATATGCACGCTCTTGGTGGGTTGAGTAAAACAAAAATTCATTAACATTACACGAACAGAACTTAAATAGGTAGACCTGTCATAAAAAGAGCTGTAAATTTAAAAGGAAATAGGGCGTATTTCTCATTAGCATCTCTTAAAAAGTCAAAATACCGCCAGGAAGGAAAAAAGGACCAAAACTGTTCGGCTTAATGAAAAATTGCCACATCATATTTAGCTGTAATTGTTAACATGGTCTGTAAATTAAAAATCTTTATATTTACTCGGCTAATTTGATGGAAATTATCTCAGACTAATAAATGTTTTTGGAGTGGTAACTGTTTAGCGCAATATGCGCTCCTGAAATTACTTTTCTATCATTTACATGGTTCAGCTTGCAGCTGTTAAGTTAATTGTTGACTCAGTATATTAAAGTTTCAATCTCAAAGAGGGAATTGGTAGATTTCCTTCATTGAAACGGGAAACCACAAAGTTTTACCGACTGTGATCACTTCATCAACATTCGTCCTTGTCATGAAACAAGTTTTTCCCCTGTTTCTTTGTCTCTTCTTTTGCAAAATCTCCGATGGTAAGCTATATCTTTTTGTTTTTTGTTTTATTCATGTTCTGGACCATGACATAAATTTCTTATAGGGTGAATAATATCACACGGTAAAGTTGAGTTCACGCGCAGATGGTCCAACAGGACAGGATTAATTCTCAACATTCGTATCACCATTTTCTGGATATTTCTGGGACAGAGACTTTATTTCCAAACTATCGGAACTTCAAAATGATTTAACCCGCCAAGGAGTTCTGCTGTTTGCACTCGTAACTAAGTCATTCAGTTTATCCAAACATACGGGTTTTCAATCACTTTCACAGCCATAAGCGGCTGCCGATGATAAAAAAGGCGGACTCTGACCAAAAAGGGGCTGTAAGGCAAATACCAAATACGGGTGTCTGCTTGCAGGCTAAACAGACGGTGTTAAGAGGTCCCGGAGGCGGTGGCGGTGGGCCGTGAATAACTGTTTTTTCATGAAACCCCTGGACGTTAAAAGGAACTGAAAAACGTAGCTACTTATGGCTCAGGAGGTCAGATCGAACCAAATTCTCGTGATGAACCTGAACGTGATTTTACAGTAAACCTATGAAAGATATGTCAAGACTGTATTACGAAAAAGCAGAAACAAACAAAACAAAACAAAACTTCTCTGAGGAAAATGAGAGGTTTTTAATAAAAGTGATATTGAGGTGGATTATTGAATGTTTAGTTCGAGGACATGTTGCAGAACTGTTTTGATTCATGTCACAAAAAATTCAGTTGCTGACTAAATCAAGGCGATCGACAAAAGCGTGGACTTAAGTTGAATGCTTTCGATCTAACTTTTTTATTCACTACAATCATGGAAAAAATTAATACTCTCTGAAACAATTATCAACTAATTTTCTGGATATATCATACAAGGAGTGCATCTCAATTAAAGCTATTTAAGTCAAACGCTAGAAAGAAACTTAAAATGGGCCCGACCTACTAAATTTCGGAGGGAATCGGATCGCAGCGTACGATAGATATTGATCAAGGTATATTCAATGCAGGTAGACGAATTACTCAGTTTGCTATGTTGGAGGAAAAAGCTATACTTTTTTTAAAAAAACACAGCTAAATAGACGGGTATGCTAGGAAATTTTATGCACAGATTAAAACACTTCTGTATAATTTCAACAAACTAAAAGTCGTGAAACCAGTGGGATCTTACAGGCAACCCATCGGCACTATTCACAAATACAGGCTTATTTGTCTTTTATTTTTAATTTTAAACGAATGGTTCATTAAAAAAGATGACAAACAGAGCCTAGATTAAAGATTAGACATCTGTAAATGGAACCTTTTTTATATCGCCCAGTCAGCTTCCCAAACAGAGCATCTCAGTCCCTTTAAGCAGCAAGAGTATGACTGTATTTGATTCACTGTTGTCAGGCACAGGAAGCGAAACCGTTTATGCTTGGCCCAAGTTTTTATATTCTAAGAAATTTTGGACGTGGGTCAACTTACCTTTTATGCACAGAGGACAACCTTTTTAACGTTTCACCGTTTGAAATTCCAGGACACACCTCGTGTGGTAAAAGATTTTCTGACACAACGAGCCTATTTCGTCGCATTGTGGGAGGTACCCAGAGTGCACAGGGTGCATGGCCATGGCAAGTTGCTCTGCTCTTCAATCAGACACAGTTCTGTGGAGGCTCCCTTATCTCTCCTCACTGGGTTGTATCGGCTACCCATTGTTTCCACGGTAAGTAAACTCTTTCACATAAGGAGCGGTTAATGTCCAGAATGGCTCAAGTTTCATACTTTTTCCGATTGGACAGTCTAAAGACAAGTAGTAAAACAAGAGGCAATTTTTCTCATAGTACAATTTCCAATTTAAAGTCTAAAATAATCCGTTACCGCATTGGTTTTGCTATACTTTGCTATGTGATTGGTCCAGAAAACCTCGCGCCGTTCTCTCAGCCAATCAGCTGCCAAACTAAAACCAATCGCAACCTGGTGACTCGTGTTTTCCCGCGCTTTATACAGTTTGCTCATTTTTACTTTTCGTTCTCATTGGCTCTTTGGGTTATTTTCCTCTCCTCTGATTGGCCGTTGTGATTGCTTTGGTTTTATGACACTCAATCGAAGAGCGTTCTAACGGAAGTGAGGCTTTTTTTGCGCCTCACTTAAGAGTTCCGTACTGCGCGCTAACAACATATTTTTTTCACTTATTTTCTTTCTTAACTTGTGCGAGGAATTTTGCCGAAAAGCAGGGGACTGCTCATGGTGTTTGTGATGTCGTACTTGTATTTGTTTCACCATTTTTCCGATTCTATTTTCTTGAACTTGTTTCCATTAGATTCATATACATCTACAAAGCCATCAGACTGGAAAGCGGTCCTCGGCGAACATCATTTGGTTGACAAAGAAGTATTTGAGCAGAGCAGAGAAATCGAATCAATTTACCTTCATCCAAAGTACAAGTCAATGTTCCTTGAAGGGATTTACGATACACCACCTGATTATGATGTGGGTAAGTCACATCACACTTAAGGCTCTCATACACTGTTAACAACCGGAATTAAGGAACCGGTCATTATTTATCCGGGGGAGGGATCAGAGAATTTTGCTTGTATCATAGTAAAATTTAGCTGATCCCCCTAAGACTCTGTTGTATTCTAATGACTATAATGACCCCCGCCCTTCATTAACAGTCAATTTTCTATAGTCCTCTCTTTATTCTCTGTCAGGGATGACTGTTTTCCCCTCTGTTCCCTGTGGAAACTATGCGATCCCCCCAAAGTCTTCCGGAGCACCCCCCGGAGTACATATCATTCCCTTTCTACTTTTCAACAATTGTCTATTCTCAAGAGCGCTTAAAGGACCACAGGTGGCCCAAAACGTTTCTGATGATGACATGTCAAGTTGAAACATATATCTTCATATAGTGTTCTGTTAGCGACTGACTGATTCCCTCCTCCCTTCTAACGAACACCACGTGGTCCCCCTAATAATGAATGGTCCTTCAGTTTACTTTTTCTGTTCTTGCGTGTATTTGCATGTTTGTAATTTCTGTATTATTTCCTTATCTCTTTATTATTTCCAGTACGATTAAGTTAAGTTGAAAATTAACCCACCACGATTACTATCTGCAATCTGCAGGACAAAGAAATATTCTGGATGATAAACACGAGAAAATAAATAAAGTATGTAAGAGTGTAATGGTCTCCTCGTTCGGAATTATGCTTACGGATTTTTGTTATATTCAAAATCAACAACAAAAACAGCTAAGTTGTTTTTCTTTTATAACTGTTGTTCGTTTATTTTCATATGGACAGCCCTACTTCGTCTATCAGAGCCTGCAATCTATGATCAGTACGTTTCTCCAATTTGTCTCCTTCGCCCATCGATGAAATTCCCTTGGGGAAAGGAATGCTTTGTGACTGGTTGGGGCCACACCCAATGGAACAGCGCCCAACCTGATATTCTGCGCGAAGCCAAAGTTCGCCTGGTTCCACCGCAAATTTGCAATAGTGTCAAATCTTACAACGGAACCGTCCATAACAGGGCTCTATGCGCTGGATTCGAGAAAGGAGGCGTCGATGCTTGTCAATACGACAGTGGAGGTCCTCTGGCTTGCAAGCATCACGGGCGCTTTTATCTCACAGGGATAGTTTCCTGGGGGCACGAATGTGCGCGACCGCACAAATATGGTGTGTACGCTAATATGTTCAAAGTCACCAAGTGGGTGGAGGAAGTGATGGGTACATATGGCTTCGTAGAGATCTAGATCGTCTCGTGATTTTATGACCAAAATTACTCAGGCGATGATGAAAACTTCTTCAAATACTTGTCGATCAGTTGTGGCACGAATGACTGTAACTTTGTTGAGCTATTTATACTAGCATAGTATTGTTTAAACTCAGTTGTCATTTCGATTTGTTTTATAAATTTTATGTATCATTGCGCATAGAAGGAAAATTTGGGAAGAATGACCTGTTGTTACCTTATCACAAGAAAAGAGGTTCGTCGACGCCGATCAATCGACTTCGCACAGATTAAATTATTTCCTTTGCGTAAGAAATTCCTATTAATTATTGATTAAGTTTTATGGATTTTCGTTAATGACATTTGCTAAAGGTGGCTAAATCAAATAAAAAAACCCTTGCATTGCTGTTACCACCACTCGTTATTCTACATTCCGCTCCATATTCCATCATGTTTGTTTGACCCGCGTCCGCGAAACGATCCCGTAAGCACTTACGCGGCAACTTTCGTTCCCAGGGTATCAGACTCTTTGCCTAGTGGGTATTTGTGTTCAACGAATCCACGAGTTACGGTGGACGTAAGCACATTTTTGTCGACCTAAGCATTCTCAATATTTTGGTCAGTTACCGGGGCTTGTCTTTTCTGAAGAAATGATTGTTGAGGCCATAATCTTGGTCCAAACGCATCATGTGACCGAATATGACGCATCATGTGACCAGCTAAAACTGGAGAATTTCCAAGGATATACCCAGTGATATTCTCCAATTGTTACTAAACCTCACTTTCACTACGCCAAGTCTTCCTTTAAAATTCACTTCAAGACAAGAGAGCGTTTTACGGTTGTTACAGTAGTAGCTTGTCATAATGTCGCGCGTCCCACGCAGTAAACGGTAAGCTGATCGTTGACATTTTTCCCCGCACGTCGCAAAATATTCGAAGAATAATAAGTACAAGTACCAAAAGGGCAAATTCCTCTTGTTAGTATTAAAACATTTAATTTAATGCCAATAAAACGCCTTTAACTATACAATATAAAAGCTTCTTTTTTCGAAGAATGCTTATCAACATACAGTGAAAACGAATTTAGAAATAATTACGCATGCATTTTGGCAAAAAATATTCCCTGAGAGGAATGGCTCACAATTTCATAGATATGCTTTACGTATGAAATCGAGAAGTGAAAAATATGTTTAAAAACAAATAACAGTTACATGTAACATAACGATTTCCTACTACATAATGTTATGCCTACCAAAAGTTTCAATCAGTACTAAAAAATCGTATGACCAAGTTTTAGGATTGCTAAGCAACATAGATGCACACAACTGTCTGAAGTATGTGCCACCTCCTCGCCCAAGTACTGTGAACGGCTAACACCTTAACCCTTTACACTCTAACATCGGTAGGCATATTCTCCATACTGTTCTCTAAACATTTCCTAAGATGCCAACCTTGAGAATTTGTCTAACAATCAAGAGCTTCTTTAGTCGGGGATCAGCTCCTATATTCTCCTAACCTTAATGTTTGATTCAGGTGTGAATTGGTCAGGAGAAATTAGATGCCAGTCACTCTTAGGGGTTAAATGGTAATAATGACTAGTGACTACCAAGCAATGATTATTCAAGAACCTGCTAAGGTAGAAAGAGAGTATCACAGAGAAGGACGCTGAGGGGTGGTGCATAGCAGATGTAGTTTGTTCGCCATTTTTTTTTCAAGTCTATTTTCATCCTGCTGTTTCCTTCGACCACCAATACCTGATTGAATGGACAACTTTTCGCTTGAATTGAAAATTACAAAATTTAATTGTCGCAAAGGACGACAAGTCGAGAATTCATCTTCTTACTATATCTCTTATAATTAACAAAATCTATCCCAGGGATGTCATTATTGAATAACTAAATTAACTAGGCATATAAATCATAAAGAGACTTAATGTAAAGATTCTTCTCTAATTCATCTTCAGTGGTGTCTTGCCAACTGTAGAATATCACCTGAAGTTGAAAAGAATGTAGCCATTGTCAGATTTATACCACCAAAATAGTCAGTTTGTTGTTTTTTTTCACTCTTTGTTCTAAATTATCAACGGCTTTCTTCTTCACAAGCTAACACGCGTCATTAGCTTACCGCAGTGCTAAACGCAAAAATCTTAAACAAAATTTACGCCAAGAAGCAAAACGCACTAGATATGTAAGTATGCTAGCTGATTCATTTGCAAGTAATTAACTTGTTCATACCGTCTTCGAAGGTTCGATCAGGAGAAAACCGTTATCTGAAAAGCGGCCACGGACATCTTTGGCTACAAGCCACACATAACAAGCGGGAGACTGGGCCTCAAGATAAACGCTAAACTCTCCTTTTTGGGGCATGCGAGCAACTTTTACAATCTGCCAAAAAAAAAAAAAGAAAACAGAAAGAAGGAAACAAAATATAATAAGAATAAAAATTCGATACTCTTTTAAGGGCTGCGCTCTTTCTTTCATTAATTTTTCCATCAACTTTACAAGGTTATACAGAGCACTATAGACAAAAGAACACTGCTGTAAGTAATTGTTTATCAGTAACGAATTATTTATCAGTAATCAATAAATGATTATTTGTAATTATTAATTTTTAATACTAACTATTATTCACCTTCAACTTTGGATCACTAATACCCTCTACTTCTGACAAACTCGTCGGATAAAACACGTTCGTCGGTCCCAGGTCCTGGCCTGTGCTCGCGTCTACAGGTTTCACAGTAAAGACACAATGCCGAGCACTTTTACATTTGCTTGACTGTAAGAGTGTTTCTACTTCATCTTCGTAAACCTGTTTCTATTAATTACAAGCAAGGATACGTAAGTCAGACTACGGTATCTCCTTTGGTTGATCCACATGTGGAATAGACACAACAAGCCGTGCTTACCGAAGTTTGTCGTTTAATGTTAAATGAGACTTTTTTGCTGTACAGTGGTGTGAAGGAAGACCATGACCACGCCTTGAGAGACACAGCACCCCGCGAGATTGGCTGAAACCACAGAAGGCATCGAATAAAAACTTCACAATTCAACAACAATAAAAAGACACCAAGCAAGTCACTGTGAGGTATAGAAAAGCTTGAGCGACCCGATCCAAATCACATGACCTGCAACCCAACGCGCATGCACGTCGACTCGGTTTTTTGGTGCCGAGCAAATACTGTCAAAAAGTTAGGACGGTCATTCAAAAGGATGCAAAGAAGATTTTGAAAGCCCATTTGCGATCCCATTATTGAGGTTGCAGTGTCCTAATCAGAGTACATGACAATTGGCGGAATTTTCTTCGGGGATTGACTGAGGACGTACACATGGTTTTTCTTTTAACACACATTTTATAATGCTGCAATAATAAAATATTTACGCATTTTTACCTTCACAAGATCTGATACTACCCAGAGCCTAAACATGCCGCCCTCCTGGTATGGTGACGCGATTACAGGCGCAAAAAAATCCTTCACAAAGTAATGTAGCATCTGTCAACCAAAAAAAAAATAATAAGCCTTTAACCTTTTCACTGAGAGGGACTGGCTTCTCCTCACAGTATCACCTTTGAATCAAATGTAAAGGTGATGAGAAGGAAATGATCACAATTTACCACAGGTAATAGCGAAGCTCGCAGAGCGTAGCCCCATATTAGACAAAATGCTAGTAGTACCCCATCAAGCCGAAAAAATTTGAACTTACGACCATACAACCGACCGTACAAGGTGCTACTTTTAACATGCGTGGTCAACTGTACCGCGGGCACGCCAACGCCACGGCTTTGTCCAGTAGTCCAGTGGTCAATGCACTGGGCTCCGAGTCGGACGACCCGGGTTCTAGTCCTGGCCGGGGCAAGGCGTTGTGCCCTTGAGACGTGCGGGAAAAAAAAATGCGAGTTCCGCTTTTAGGGTTGGCTAAATCTATATATTGTAGAGAGATCTGTGTGTAGAATAAGAATACCATCGTCACAGTACAAAGGGTTAAGGATTGATATCATGATAATTGATTTTGTGAATACCACAAGTTTGAGCTGTAGTTTAAAGAAAACAGAGCAAACTTGTACCTTCCAACGTCCTCCATATTCTAAAGAAGACCAAGTGGGAGCCTGCCAAATACTGTTCAACCTGAAACGGTCAAAACAAAGTAAAAGTGAGTTGCTGGTTAAGTCTCTTTACCATCCGACTTCAGATGTTTCCTTATTACAAGGGATAATGTACAGACTAAGGGGCCCCTCATTAATGTTTAACACATTTGCACCAAAGGCAATACAAACTGCCCCTCCCCTCCCCCCAAATAAGCTGTTTCACATCCTACCACCAAACCCCTTCCAACCCCTTGGTTCTACCGGTAAAAAATATGTAACTTAAAAAAAAGCTTGTAGTTTATATGAATGCATAAAACAATTAACCTGTAATTATGTCTTTTACAGGTGGTGCGAGACATTGCAAATTCATCACGTGCAACTCATGTAACGTTAAAAATCTTCCCAGAAGAAGAAAATAAAACTGTAACATAATTTTACACTTAATCTATGAACTGCTAAAACACAAACAGGGTTTACGGTTGGTGTTGGGTCTGGCGAACGTAAAGGACGTCTCTATGTAAATTCCCGTTAAATTAAAAAAAAAACAAGGCCTTTCCTTCCTTTTTAGCATCATTGACTTAAATTAAACAACAATCGAAGTTCTATTTGTGACGTGTCAGAGATCTCAAAGGTATGGCCATTCTGCACAATGAGTATTCTCATCGTGTCAAATTTTAACGTTGTTGATATTCTTTGAAACAATAGTCGAATTACAATCATTGTCTCTTACATTCTTTTCTTTCAACCTTTCAATTTAAAAAGTTATTCAATAAAGCAGTCACTTACTGCCAATATATTGTGCCCATTGTTCTTCCTTCACCCTGACGAGAAAATCAAAGGGCCTGTTATCCAAGTTTCGTCAAATAGCGTAACTGCGATTCAAACCCACCTTTATTAATTCACTCTGTAAACGTCTGTAATGTTCAGTCTCTGTCTTCATGCACTGAGCTTGAGTTACCTAGAAAGAAAAAGGCATAACTGAAACGTGTACCATTTATCATAAAGGGTCAGGTGAGGGTAACATATCATGTAGGTCTTTTTTCCGTTTCCACCTGTCTCATGGCACTCGTTACATAATGTTGTCCTGGAAGACTTGAGGAAGTTTACTGACAACTGTATTGGTGAAGCGGTGGATTAGCAGTCATGGCGCTGTGCGTGAACGCTGGACTAGGAGGTTTGGGTCCGAGTTCTAGCTGGGTCATAGTGTTGCGTTCCCGAGTAAGAGACTTCACTTTCAGTCTACCTCTCTACACTCAGGAGTGTGGGAACCGGCGAATTATCAAA